GTTAAAATCAGTCCTGGAAATGCCAAAACAAGTCAGACCAGTTCCCAATCTTCCAGAGGCTGGAGAGTCTACGAGGCAGCCTGAACACATAAGCCAGTAAGAGTAGTGACATATTATAGGAGCCGCAGAAGAGGAGTGTGGAGTTGAGTCAAGGGCCGTCTTGTCATGCTGCAACCATTTGCTTTGGTGACGCTATACTGGCCGAGCTCTCTTTCCTCCTCTCATATTTCCCCTTCTCGCCTCCCTTCTTTGGGTCCCCTTCCCCATCCATTTTCTGAAGTGTAGACATTTCCCACACTTCAGGTCCAAACCTTCTGTTTTTCTCACTTTGCAAACCTTTCTTCGTAGCCTTGATGCATTCCCATGACACGAAAAAGAGTCAAAATCCTAGTCTTAGCTGGGCCCAGCGACTCATGTCTGCAATCTCAACACCTTGGGAGGCTGAGGCGAAAGAACTGCTTGAGGCTAGGAGTTTGAGACCAGCCTGGGCAACATGGCCAGACCCTGTCTCTATAAATGTTTTTTAGACATCAACCAGCTGTGGTGGCACACGCCCATGGTCCCAGTTTCTTGGGAGGCCGAGGAGGGAGGATCACTTGAACCCAGGGGTCAAGGTTACAGTGAGCTATGATTCTGCCACTGCATGCCACACTAGAGGTCAAAACAACACGCTGCCACTAAAAGAAAAAATAAAATAAAAGACAAAACCAATCTGAGTCTCTACCCTCCACCTTTATTCTGAGCTCCTGGATCTTATGCTGAATGTTTTTCACTTGGAAAAAAAACTCCCCTCAAACTTAGCATCATCTCTATTCTGTTTCTCTATTTCTGTCAAGAGTCTCAGATTCAAACAGAAGTTAGATCTTATCAATCTCCTTCCTTACATCAAATACTTAGACGGTTCCCAATTCCAATCCACATTTATTTCAAATTCACACTATACATGCTTTCTACTTCCTATTGTGGTTACATGTAGACTTTCTCATTTCTTCCTGGGGAATTTTACCACTCTTAAAAATAGGAACTAATGTTTTTTTCTTTGTATCTCTTATAGCATCTCGAATAGGATATTGCATATAATAGCTGTTCAGTAATTTTATGTTCTTGAACCTACTTATACACCCTTCCATGAGGGCTTCACAAGCCATGAAGTTAAAGTGGATCTTGCCTAGACTATACCCAAAGCTAGACACTGACTCATGGACCACAGGGCAGGAGAGACCTTTCCGTCTCACCTCCCGCATGTGGCAGAGCTCCACTATCCACTCCACCAACAGGGCCATGAGTCAGCTTGGGGACCTCTGGGACTCAAGTGTGCTTCAGGTCAGCACTCTGGCCGTCTGCCCAACTGATGGGAAACTGGAATCGGGGTGAGGGGGCAGAATTCAGAGAAAGGCTTATCCTAGAGTCTCACAATCAAGCTGACTGCAGAGAAAATTGAAATGTGAGATGCATTTTCCCATGTAGAATATAAATGAGAATACCTTTGCAGTTCCGGACATAATTCAATAGTTTCCACCCTCAAACAAAAAGCTTCATCCCTATAGTCCTTTTTTAGAAAGCAGGAAAGTGTTTGTGAGAAAAGTCTCACACTAGAGAATACTTGTCACCAACTAGAAGTTGGTCTGAGACAGGAACGTTCAGTTCAACATCAAAATACCACCATAAAAAAACTCCATGCTGATTCATGCCAAATGTTTTTACTGAAATGGGAGCAACCGACAGCAGTGGAAATCTTAGCCAAAACTTTATGCTCACCATGCTAGAAAGGAGAGCGGAGAGAACACTGGGGCAGTTGTACTGGACTTGTATCCACCTAACTTCCATTGCTCATGTCTGCTTAATGTCCCAAAGCACCATTCCAAGCTCAGACTGAAGTTACGTTTCTGGATTAATAACAAGCACAGGAAAATAAATCACATCTGCCCCAGGAGTGAACCCAAAACCAAAAGCAGCCACAGGCAGGATTTCGTGAGTTGAGCTTAAAGTCAACTTTAATTCTGAAGGAAATGAACCTTTAAAACTAAAATCTTAATAACAATCTATGTAGACAAAACATTAATCTGCACTGCTCTCATCAATTTTAGGGCCCCTAAAGACTTTTTCTTTCTCAAATACATATCTACCAGAGCAGAATTTCTCTGATAAGATGACCTCAGGACAAATACAGTATAACAGACATTTGTGCTATGTCTACATCCAACCCTCAGATACACTTCTATTTCTAAAGGAACATTCAGTAATTCAGACTTATCTCTACGAGAAGATTCCTATAAACAAGTAAACTATCTGCCCATACTCGCTCCCTAACACCAATTTATTTTTTTCACCTAGAGTTTTAGCTAGTCCAAAAGAGTGGCTTTTTTTTTTTTTTTTTGAGTTGGAGTCTCACTCCGTCGCCCAGATTGGAGTGCAGTGGCCACTGCCGGCCACCGCAGCCTTGACCACCAGGCATGGTGGCGTGTACCTACAGTTCCAGCTACTTGGAAGACTGAGGTGGAAGGATCGCCAGAGCCTAGCAGATGGATGCTGGGGTGGCCATGAGTGGGCCAGTGCCCTCCAGCCTGGGTGACAGAGTGGGACTCCAACTCAAAAAACAAAACAAAACAAAAACCCCAAAGTCCTTAAAAAAATAAAAAGGTTAACTCATAGAATCAATTGGATACAGAAAAAAGACCACAGATTTGAAGGTCAACAAGCCCAAATTCAAACACTGACCCAACCACAACATGCCCTGGGCAAATTACTTAACCCTTTTGAATATTCATTATCATCTGTAAAAAGGATATTTAATGAACTCTATTCCTAATACAGCTACTGCAAAGATTACACAAAATATTGTCATTAGCACAGTATTTGAGTGCGAAGACACATTAGTTAACTCCTAGACTCTAGCTCCATTTATTTCTTTAACTTGCATAAAGCAAAAAAAAAAACCAGTCTGAATTTATAGAAATAATATCAACAGAATTAGAAGCCCTATGACACAAACTCTTTCTTCTGTTTTTCTCTTCAGAATGGGTTAGGGGCTAGGATGGTGAACAGTGCAGCTACATGCTTCTGAAAACAAAGGTCGGAAAAGAATGCTGGTAACTACTGTCTCCTACAGTTCAACAGCCCCATAACTCGGTACCTCCCTCACATCAAGCATATAATAATACCAACATAAATGTGGTGAGCGCTATCCAGAAGGCATAGGGGACTAAAGGAGTCCAGAAGAGAACACTTAACTCAGCCTGGCAGAAGGTCAGAGAAGGCTTCCTGAGGGAGGTTAACCACTTGATCTGGGTTAGGCTGCCAAAACAAATGACGAATAAAATAGGAAGAAGAGTGGAGAAGGGAAACCTCACGAAAAGGAAAGGTGTGACTGAAGACAGTGTGAAACAACAAGCAGTAGACACAAGAGAACTGAGAGGAGTTTTGGCACTTGTGAGAGTGTGAAGAGCGGCTGGAAGCACGAAGACAGAGACCAGGGACGCAGACGGGGCCGACGCCATGAAGGGCTTCGCAGAGCCGAGGAAGGACCTTGGACTTTATCCTGCTGAAGGCAGGCAGGGCACAACAAGGCGTGCCACTGGACATCAAATAATTAGCATGTGTGAAAAAGAAGGAAAATCTGTGGTGAAAAACCAAAAACAGAGGGTCACGCTAAATGAAGACAGCAGATCAAAAGAAATAAAAATTGCCACATTGAACTTATTCATTATTATAGCCACCCTTTCCGAAAAATAGAAAAAACATACAGAAAGAAACATCTTATACGGACTTTGACAGAAAAGAGACATGTATTAAACATTCTGGGGCAAGAAATGTGGGTAAAGTATTATTTCACTAGAAAAGATCCCCCCCCCCCAGAACAGACCTTCCTAATTAATATCAAAGCAGGAAACAAAGTGTGAACCAGAGGAAAACTGGCAATGAAATTACAATGCAGTTTAATCTTCACTGGCATCAGGTGCCTCAGTGCTACACAGAGTCCCTCTTCCACAGGGAAAGGGAGACTAGAATGGGGTCAGGTTCCCAGCAAGGATCTCATCCTGCCCAATACTGTGAGGATCATTAAAGAGATACAAATTCATATCTTTTCAGTTATTATCTGCCATGAAGTTATCTTACAGCAATTTTTTTAAGTTGAAAAATATAGCCTCTAAAAAATCTACCACAGAAATGGCAAAAGTTAGAGAAAGAGAAATGGAAAAGTCAGAGTAGAGGATTAGGAGTGAAATCCTAGAATCGAGATATCATGAAGAAATTCTAGGGGAAGTCCAATTTAGGGAAATATTTTCCCAGTGGGAAAGTATTAAAAAGGACAGTTTGGGGATTAAACACAGAAATGTGTGCCCTTCCAGGAAATTCTGTTACTAAAGTTTTAAATCCTTTTTATCTATTTCTATTCATAGTCTAGAGCTCTAAAGAGTACTCTAAATAATTAGATACTACAGATAAGGAAAAGCAATTCAGATATGTTAAAGAATACCTAGTAGTAATGGCTGCAATCTAACATCAAGACTTTGCAGGAGACAGTCCATCACTGGTACTGTAGTTTCTTCTTAGAATATTAACTTGTTTCTTGGGTTTCTACACTAAATCAATCAATTTCTCTCAAAAGGGCTTAGATCTTAGGCCCTTAATCACTTCTTGTTTCTACTTTTAGTAGATAGATAAATAGATATAAAGAGAAATTAAAACCAAAACGTCTGCATAAAATCGTTCAGCTTTCAAATATAAGTGAAAAACCTTCCTAAGATAATATGAGAAACTTCCAAGAGGCTATACAGTTCAGCAAGACTGCTCTTCCAATGTCAGAGGCAGAAAAAACCATGTTTGTCCTGTGTGCAAAAAGGGATAGAAGAAGGAAAAAAACAGAAATGTTCCGTTCAGTTCACAAACAGGTTACCAAGCAGCCTTAAGACATTTGCAAAAGGTGCTCATGTCATTAACTCCCCAACTCTGGTTACCAATCCTGACTCCGTTTGGTGGACTTGCTGCACTGTACATACCTGTCCACTGTGGGGGGCAGCGGCAGTTGTAAGTATTGACTCCGTCCACACAAACACCCCCGTTCTGGCACTTGTGGTCAGGGCAGTCATCAATGTTCCACTCACAGACGCTCCCTTCAAAACCTGGGAAGAGAAGAAGAAGCAGAAGTGACCTGCTCTTTGGTCATCCGAACAGACCTGCTTCATGATTTCAGCTCAAGAGCTGCACAACCGGGACTCACCATATGAAAAACTCCCAGTCCTCTGTATTCTCTGGCTCCGGCATAGCTAGACAGTGAAAGTGGCTCATTATGCCAATGGCATGCCTTCACAGTTACCTCACACGTATTTCAAAGTGTTTCATGAAATAAAATCCCAGAGAGGATAAATTTCTCCTTGGGATAGATATTCACCGGTTCTAAAAAAACAGGGTATTAGATTTTCCCCAGCTCCACCTGAGACTAAGAGGAAGAACAGACAAAAGATCACCTAATTAAATCTAAGATCTTTTCTTTCTCTTTTCTTGGAATGATTATTCAAGGAGGACTCCAAACTAGGTGAGGAAGGGAGTGGGGAAGGACACAGGGAAAATACCGAAATTAAAGTATGACCATACAGGCCAAATCCTCATCTCACCACCTACAAACCATTTAACACACAGCAAGCCGAAGCTCTGAATTAGCTTCCTCATCTGTAAAATGAAGCCACCTCTACTTGCCCAGCTGGCCTTTCTAGATTATATGTGCCACATCATGAGTAAGTGCTATACAAAGGTGAAAAGCTAACTGAAAATGGGGTGGAATTATTACTGATTAAACTTACCAGCACTTCAAATTATTCAGGCTCTTCTCTAAATGTATAGTATTGCTTCCTTCCTCTTGATTTTTCTTCTTTCATGTAAAATGAAACTAACACACCAAACTTCACCCTAACTGTCCACTGTGTGATCCTCTGCAATGTACATATTGCACTAAATCAATCAATTTATCTCAAAAAGGCTTAGATCTTAGGCCCTTAATCACTTATATTGGGCTTGTTCCTTTCTTTTTCCTTGCTACCAAATCCCTAAGCTAGTAAAATAGAAGACTATCAGCTTTAAGACAAGCAAATGTTCAATGAACATTGTCCTATTTGAAATACAGTATGAATAAGCCTTTGGCCGTCTCAAAATATTCTCTAAGGTTCCCTCTCTCACTCAAAACACGTACTGGGTCTTACACTAGGCAGTGGCGATAAAACAGTGAGTAAAAGAGACAGAGTCCCTGTTTTCGTGGTATTTACAGCTTGGTGAGTGGGAGGGACATCAATCACACCTTGTTTCACTCCTTACCACAAGCTACTATAGTAATCTACATCTGTTCTGCTACATCCGAACATGGCTAGTTTCTCTGACTACAGTGGCAGTCATGTAAATGAGTACAAACCAAGTGGAAAAAACATTACTAAGAAATAAAAGGAAATCAATTCATGAAGACAGATAATCCCTAAGAAAGCTCCCAAAAGACTATGGAAATATATTCAAATTTTAAAAATTTATATTACTCACACAGAAATATGAGTTTACAAATGGATTGATGAACCAGAAAATGATGAACTGCTCAAACCCACCCATAATTATGTTAAAGAGAGTGAAGCTAAACCTACAGATGTGCTGAGTTCCAAAATGAGAAATGACATCTGTGTTCCTAGCCCAGTGCTCTTAATAAAGACCTTCTTAGAAACATTAAAGATATGGTTTCAGGTTGTTAGGGGAAACAGGGCTCCTGGCCCACCACTGCTGGAACTTGTGTGGACGAGTGGCGTGTTAGACCCTAACTTGATCTCTCTGGTGAGCAAGACTAAACACAGTTGACTCCAGCAGTGGGGATGCAGGAAAAAGCCCTTGTAGTGAAGCCCTGCGGAACAGAAACTGTGACCCTGACTTTATATTAGCTAGTGCTACAACTAATTGAACTCAACAACCACAGACAAATTAAGAAAGCAGAAGCATTTCAGTATAACCATGACAGATAAGAAATAGAGGATTTTCATTCTATAACTGCTTGTTTATTTTTGAAGTAGTTCTTCCCTGTCAATACATAGGTAGGTAAAAGAGTTATTTCATGGTTAAAAGCACGGCCTCTGGGACCAAACTGCCTAGGCTCAACTTTCAGCCTTGCCATTCAATAGCTATGTGAACGTGGACAAGATACTTAAACTTTCTGGGGGCGGGGGTGGGGGTGATTAACAGGACCTACCTCAAAAGGTTATTATAAAAATTAAATGGATTAGATACAAGTAGGCTTAATTCAATAAATGGTCTTGCACAATTAAATATCTACACGCAAAAGAATAAAATTGGACCCTCTCCTCACACATAAAAATTAAATCAAAATAGATCAGAAACCTAAAGACAGAAAGTAGATGTATAAAACTCTTAGGGGAAAAAAAAAAAACCATAGCAAATCTTTGCAACGTGGGCTAAGCAATGTTTTCTTAAATATGACCAGAGCACAGGCAACAAAAGAAAAAATAGATAAATGGCATTTCATCAAATTAAAAGCATTCAGGCTTCAAAGGATAGCACCAAGAAAGTGAAAAGACAGCCCACAGAATGAGAGGAAATATTTGCGAATCATATTATCTGATAAGAGACTTGTTCAGGCAGGGACCCCCCCCACCTCCAATCCAAAAAAAAAAAGGAACTATCTTTTGGAGGGCAGGCCCCTTGCAGTACACTTGGAATTTTTTCCTCTGGATCCAACGGCCAACCCAAGTTTTTATCTGGAAGTTCTGAGAAGGTTGCATCACGGTTTGTGGAAGAAACGTCCTGAGTTACAGCAAACGGGGGAAACAGGTTCTTCCTCCATGCTGCCCACACCGCACTGAGTCTTCAGCAGTTTCTGACCAAAACTGGCATGACCTCCCCGTGCCTCACCCTCCCTAGTTGCTAGATCTTGCCCCAAGCGACTTTTTTTTTGTTTGTTTCCCTGGAAAAAAGTTCTCAAAGGGAAATGTTTTGCCCAAGTGGAAGAGGTGAAACAAAAAACAGCAGAAGCACTAGAAGGCATAAAAACTGATGAGTTCGAAAACTGTTTTGAGCAATGGAAAAAGTGTCTCTATAGGTGTATTGCATTAAATGGAGAGTACTTTGAAGATGACAAGTTTAATTAAATGTTTAAGAATACACAATTATTTACAAATAAATTGTTTTGGGAGTCCTCCCTCATATATAGGAAATATAAATAACTCTTAGAGCTCAAATAACCCAATTATAAAATGGGCAAAGGATCTGAATAATCTCCAAGGAAGATACACAATGACCAATTAGCACATGAAAAGATGCTCAATGTCACCAGCCACCAGTGAAGTATAAATCAAAACCATTCTGAGATACCACTTCACATCCATTAGGATGTATATAATTAAAAAGACAAATAATACTAAGTGTTGACAAAGATGTGGGGGAGTCAGAGCCTTCACACACTGTTGGCTGAAACACAAAACAGTGCATTTTGTACCCACTTTGGAATACAATCTGGTAGTTCCTGAAAGGGTCAAACAGGTATACACCCAAGAAAAATGAAGATATATGTCTACACAAAAATGACCCAGGAATGTTCATAGTAGCATTACTCATAATAGTCGAAACGTGGAAGGAACTCAAATGCCCATCAGCTGATGAACAAATCAAGTGTGTTAAATTCATAGAACTGAATGTTATTCGACCACGAAAAAGAACTTCAAAAACATTCTATCAAGTGAAAGAAACCTGTCACAAAGGACTATATATTATATGATTCCATTTATACAAAGTGTCCAGTAGTTGCTTAAAGCTGGGAGGGAGTTAGGAGGAATAGGGAGGAACTGATAATGGGTACGGGTTTTTGTTTTGTTTTTAGAAAGCAGGATTTATTGAGAGGACATCCCACAGTGGGAGGGGACCCAAGAGGATAGCCAAGGGTTTCTTTAGGAGTTTAAAAACATTCTAAAATTGTTATGGTGATGGTTATACATATCTGTGAAAATACTAAAATCCAATGAATTGCCTACTTTAAAAGAACAAATTGTATGGTATATAAGTTATATCTCAATAAGGTTGTTACGTTAGGAGCAAAAACACATATTAGCTAATATTATGTATCAGTGGGATGATAGCATCCCTTAAGACTGTCTACTCTAATCCTTTTATGTTACAGACGAGAAGTTGAGAGCCAGATGGCTAACTTGCCCAAGATTACATGGCCAGTAGGTAGGAGTCAGTACTGAGCCTGAAAAGTTACCCAGTTTCAATTAGTACATTTTCTGGGACTCCAGAGTTCCCTTTCAACAATATGAAAAACCAACTTTAGGTCAAAAGTTTCCATGTCTGAGAAAACCCAAACTAAATCAGTTCTCCGAAGTTAAGACAAGATTTATGCTTTACAAATAGAAATAAAGAATTCTTTTTGGAAGAAACAGTCTATCCAAAGGAGGGAAAAGGCTACATGAATATGTTACAGTGTAGTCATTTAAAAACAGATTTCAAGTTTTTAGGAGAAAGGGAAACAGAGAAGTCTCCAAACCTGTGGGTGGGATGGGTGTAGCTGATTCACAGAGAAGCTCACATGTCCACACTAAAATGAGTCTACTGCCTAAAGCCAATTCAAGTCCTTAAAAGGCCAAAAGGAGAGAAATTAAACTTAGAATGAACATTTTAAGACTTTACTGTTGTAAAAACAGGGGTCACTTAACTGATTAAGGATAGCAGTGAGGGCAGGGAGCAGGAAAGAGTCTTTTGAACCTGTCATCCCACAGAGAGAACAGCATCTCTCAAGACAGCACATCCTGGGAGGTATGGGAGGATGGAAAGGCTTGGTGGAAGAGCAGGACTAGAGCAGAAAGGGGAAGATGAGATAACAACCAGGATCCTCTCAGGCCAGGCTCAAAGTCCTCAGGAAAAGCTGCTATGTACAGGATGAAAGACTGAGGAAAGAAACAAACAAAAAACCAAGCACCAGATACCTGGAGCTAAACAAAGATAAAAAGATAGCAAGGCTACTTTCTTCCCTCTGGGAAGAAGCACATCACAAAAGCAAATCTGCCAAAATACAACTGGTATAATAACCAAGAAAACGTCCCACAGCCCTGTCCAACTGGCTTGCTTGGCACGCACCTTCCATTCT